ACCATGAGATCATGACCTGAACCAAAGTCGGACGCCCCGCCGAGCCCCCCAGGCGTCCCCGGATCTTTCTGTCTTTGAAAAAGCCAGAAGTCCAGATTTGTATGGAAAAATCTCCCAGTGGAAAACAAGAAGACCGTAAGCGTGGTGTGAGAGAATCAAGACACATCTGTGAGCCCCTGGGCTGCTGTCGGCCATCTCTGGACCCTGACTCACTTAGCAACCTGCTTCTCCCCAGGGAAAGCTTTAGTGGCTGCCCCTTCTAGAGAGCGGGGTGTGTACAAAGTGTATTCAACGTATAGTTTTCAGCGTCTTCTCCTTTGCCTGCTCCCAAAAAGGTCACAGTGCTCAAATCATATGTGTGTTTGTAGGTAACAAGTATTGACCATTTAAGCCAAGAGGTTCTCACTTACTGTCTTGTTTTTCACATAAAGATGTGGAGACCCGCAGAGGAGAGGTCGCGAAGCCATTTGGGCAGAGCTTGGACCAGACTTGCAGTTCTGACTCCCAGCCCAGTGCTCCTTCTGTCAGTGGGCCTAAAATAGAAGGCTGACCTTTTTGTGGTATTTGTGTGCTTGACAAAGCCAGAGAGTTACTCATGAGTTCGTTTTCCCAGAATAACTGGCAGAAGGGGGCCAGAGGGCGGGAGGAAGACCCGGGCCTGCCCCTGTGACACCCGCGCTCCTGGAAAGCAGGGGACGCGTCTCGCCATTAGAACGCTGCCTGCTCTGGGAGCACCGCGCCTCGCCCCGGCTTCGCGGAGGCAGTTAGTCGGGGGGAGAGAGCTTTGGAGGCCAGGACAGATCCCAGGGGTGCGTTAGGGCCCCGGGAGCTTGAGCCTGCCCAGGTCCTGTCCCCACCTTCACCCTCCCTTCTTTTTCTGGTATAAAATAATAATCATAGTCAGAATCTTGAAAAAAAAAAATCAGACAAACACAAAAATGAAAACGAGAACTCTCGTAATAAAACCCATGACTTTAGCTTTGATCCCTGCAGTCTCTGCAAGGAGGGAGACAGAGCCTGATTTTTTTTTTTTTTTTTACAATAACAGAAACATGTGGGACATGCCTTTTCTAATCTTTGCTCGTTTACTGTGTCCAGCGTTTTCCTCCAGCCTTCATCTTCTCTCCAACCAGCGTTTTTTAGAAAATTGTTTTTAATGTTTATTTATTTATTTGGAGAGAGAGAGAGAGAGAGAGAGAGAGAGAGACAGAGCATGAGTGGGGTAGGGGCAGAGAGAGAGGGAGACAGGCTCCAGGCTCCGAGCTGTCAGCACAGAGCCCGATGCGGGGCTCCAACCCACAAACAGCGAGATCGTGACCTGAGCCGAAGTCAGACGCTTATCTGACTGAGCCCCCCCGGGTGCCCCTCAAATCAGCATTTTTTACTGCAGCAGAGGGTTTCATCGCCTAGACGTATTCGAGTTCATTTGACCTTTCCCTGTTGTTGGGCATTTCGTACACACATCAGTGCTTCCAACATCCGTATCGTTCCCTCTGTGGGTCCACCCACGTGCTTTCCACAGCCTAAAGTTCTCGACGTGGAATCCATCAGATGGCGTGAAAATCATATGGCCTTTGATACGCGTTTCGCAGGCTGTTCTTGAGACATCCTCAGGGAGAGCCAGGAATTTTATCTGCTGGAGGCGATCTCAGAGAGGCCTCTCTGCCTGTGCCCTTGTCCCAGGTCTGGCACGTCTGCGTCTGCAAGTACTTGGCATCCATGTGCGTTTGACTCGTGCCCAGAAAGCCCCTGGGCACCTCCGCCGACGTTGATTCACCAAGAACCGCCTTGCAGAGATGGAGCAAGAAGCAGCGGCAGGGCCCCAGAGTTCTTTCCAGGGCCTTCCTGACCCTCTGACCGGTCAAACTGGCTCTCAAAGTGGCTGCCACTTCCATCTGGGAAGGAGCCCCTTCAAATGACAGGGAGAATCTGGGCACCTGGCAAAAAGAAAAAACGTCCCTGAGCCTCTCTGGGTCCCCAGTGCCAGGGGGCGGGGAGAGAGGAGTACACAGCAGGGCAGAGGAGGGAGGGCCGTTTGCACAGCAGCAAGCAAGGGAGGGATGTATTCAGTCGCCTCCGCTCAGCTAGACCCTGCTGACAGGTGGGATCAGAAGTTGGTGATTTTTTTTTTTTCTGTTTAATTCTCGGCACGTACGAAAGGTCCGCAGTATTTACGGTCGATCTCTGGCCTGACCCTGACCCCTTCCCCACATGAAGGAACTTTAGTCTCCTGGCTGAATTTCAGCACCTTGTCTGCTGCCCCACATGCCCCAGGGCATAAGCCAGGGCTTTAAAGAGCACGAGAGAGAAGACATTGTCTTCAGAGAAGAGGTAGGTGACCACCTTAGTGACGGCCACGCTGTCAGTTCATTCCGGCCAGGGCGTCGTCGGAAGCGTAAAAGGCTGAGTCCCGACCCTGTTACCACTCTTGGCGGCCCCGGTGTTCGTCGCGCCGATAAATGCGCAGCTCGGGAAAAGCCATCTTGACGTTTTGATTTGTTAAGGCGTGATTCATTTTCGAGTCAAGTTAACAGCTTGTAAACTTGGGGGTTTACCGCTTGAAGTGATTAAGAAGTAAGCGGCTATAAAGCCCGTGCTGTGGGGCTGCGGCTGATTGCCCCCTGGGAATCTTCCTGCCTGGCGTCTGGATTCGCCTCGACGTCTGCCGGAGTTCATCGGAGCCTCCCCCTCCGCCACAGACACAGTGTATCGCGTAACGGCATCTCGCCGGGAACTCCAGCGCGTCCGGCCTGCGCTCGCTCCCTGCAAGCAAACCTGCGCAGTAGGCCGGGGGTGGGGAGTCGTGCCCTCATGCCCGCCACGAAAGAGAAGCTGGCGAATACCCACCCCGCTCCCACAAGGCCTCACATCCACCTGCCCTTACATCGCACAAGCCGGAGGGCCTGGCTCGGGGTAGAAATACAGACCCTGCCCGCCCGAGGGGAGGGGAGTAGGGGTTGAGTAGAGTGGGTGTGGGGGAGCGGGAGGTACGGGCCTCCAGTTAGGGAACGAGTTAAGTCACGGGAGCAAAAAGCAGAGCGTAAAGAATAAAGAGTGTTATAATAGTGACGATATAACAGGGCAGAAGGTAGCCTCACTTGTGCTGAGCACAGCATAATGTAGAACCTTGACTCGTTGCTACGTTGTACACCTGAAACTAATGGAACATTGGGTGTCAACTGTACTCAAATAAAAATCACTGAAAAGTCACATCAAAATAAGACAATAAAGACCCAGTTTTTAAGGAGCCAATCCTCAGGCAAAAATAACTTCACACAAACATTAATACCAAATAGCTCCTCCGCAGGGGCCGGGTACCGGATCCCCCTAGTCCTAAGCGGGGACGAAGCAGCAGGTTCCCACCCCCCACCCCCACCCCACCCCAGCCAGGCCCATGTTTGCCCACCGGTGGGTGAAGGGAAGGGGCTCAGGACAGTACAGTTACTCGCCCCGCGGGCTGGTAAGTGAGCAGATCGGATCGGGGGTAGAACCCAAGCTTTCCTGGCACCAGAGTCCAGGCTCCGTGTGCTGCTTCGGTCAAGGGCCAGAGAGTAAAATATTTCAGGCTTTGCAGGTCATGTGGCCCCTACTCCGTGTGGCCAGTGTAGCTCGAAAGCCACCACAGACTAAGTATGCAAGCAAGGAACCGTGGCTGTGCTCCAGGTGAACTTTATTTACAAAACAGTGGGCTGTAGTTTGCTGACTGCTGCTTGACCCCCCTGCCGCCTTCTTGAGTTCTGAGAAAGGTGAGGTCAGGGCCTAGAGAACCTTTTGGAAGAAGTGTCAGCAGGAGCCAGGCACTATGAAGTTCAGCCAGTGCAGGTGGCGCGAATGAGATTTGGGGCTGGCTGGGGCAGGCATGCTTACGGAGTGGAGAGCTTTGACGTGGTTGGCCAGGAGGTTGGGGTCCCCCCTCTCACCTAGGAGGACTTGCCCCCCAATTCCCATTCCGATTTGGTGCCGCTTCTGAATTACGGGGCAGAAGCAGCTTGACCAGGGTCCTGCCCAGCTCGTGGGGGCTGAAGCAGGAGCCACCATGGTCCACGTAGTCCCCTGGGCTCATCAGCAAGGCCTTTGTTCCATGGGAACTTCGTGCGTTTAGTGAGTAAAATCAGAAGCTACGGGCCTTGAGAAAAGCAGGCTGTGAAAATGGCAGAAGCCACGGTCTGCAGACAGAAAGCACACATCCCTGGAAAAGGGGCTCCTCTCGCCATAAAGAACACTCTGCTCTCCCCGCGTGCCCCGTGCCCCGCTATACCCCCACTGCAGTGCGGTGACGAGAACCTGGTCGTGATACCCCCAGCCCACAGTCGGGGGGTGGTGCTGGCCGCGTGTGCTTCCGCGTCCGCGAGGTGAGTAGAGCTCTGAGTGTCTCCGAAGTGTGGCGCTCGCGGGCCTCACAAACGTGCGGTCCCCATCTCTCAACCCAGAGCCGCTCCAAGGGCAGGGTGGAGCCCCACGTACGGGCGCCTTTCACCAGAGCCTCCAGAGCGGGGCAAAATCTGGGACAGGGAGAGTCCGGGGGGCTCCTCCCCCTCCCGCCCAGTGGCCTGCCTTGGACAGAACTCAGGGGCGTTCGCAAGGGCCCCAAGACTTTGCCGTGAGGGTGTCTCACATCCCTACGTGGGCTTCACCACGATGCCTCTGAAGCCCCAAGGCTGCGCGTCCCCTTCAAGGGCACAGCCAGCCCGTTGCTGAGCCAGCGTCAAGCACTCAGATTTATGGCTCGCGGCCCTCAGCTCTACGGCCGGCTGCACCCTCCTCCTTGAAACAGCTCTGAAGCGTGTCCAGGTGTGACCAGAGAGGTCAGCTCACTCTGGGGAGCGGACCCAGACTTTCAGGGCGCCGGGTTGGGTTGCTTTTGCCTTAAGGCTCCCGGCCCCACCTTTGAGGTGCGGGCTTGCCCCAGGGGGTCTCACACGCAGTTGGGGAGCACGGCGCCCCTCCTGCCGGGCCAGCGTGTTTCTTCCTGCTTGGTCACCTCCCCGCCTGTCTTGCAGGCTTTGCCGTGGCCCAGTGCATAAACCAGCACAGCTCGCCGTCCCTGTCCTCGCCACCGCCGTCTGCCAGCGGGAGCCCCAGCGGCAGCGGGAGCACCAGCCACTGTGGCTCTGGAGGCGCCAGCTTGTCGTCCACCCCTTCCGCCATCCAGAGCCCGGCAGGTATTGCCCGCGTGACGTGGGGCGGGGGAGGGGCGGTGCCTCGGGGAACTCTGTGATCCCTCAGTGTCAAGACTGCTGACCCCCAGCTCCTCCTCGCCTCCATGTCTGGGGACACTGCCGCTCCGGGTCCTGGGTTCATTCTGATGGGGCGTGGCCCACAGGCCGACTGGTTTAGCTCCCGGCAGGGAAGGAGTCACTCCTTGTGCAGGCTGGCGCCCCCCACCCCCCGCTGACCCCCCTCACCTGACCGCACAGCTGGAGGGGACAGATGGCGAGTGGCCAAGTCTGAATGCGCCCCGTTGTCACCCCCACGAGGAGGGGTCTCCCCAACGAGATCGTTTCCAACTGGCGGAAGAATTGCGTCCCTGCTAATTTTTTCTTGCCTTCATACCGTACCAGTCTCCTCTGTAAATGGTGCAGTCCAGTCGTCTGTGCTCAGGGCCCACCTCTCGAGAGTCCGTCAGCATGTGCTGGAGGCACATCTCGCCTTCCTGGACCTCGTACAGGTGCAGACATAGCACGGGCAGACCCCGCGAACGGGGCGTCTGCGGTGAGACGTGTGAGTGGGTCACGCGAGCGCCTCACCGTGCTGTGTGAGATCCCAGGAGGAGGGCACCAGGCTTTTTTCCTGAACATCGTGGCCCCACCACGCAGCCAGAGGAGCAGGGCACGGAGGGCGGGGGGGGCGGTTGCTGGTGGTGGCCTTGATGGTGCGTGAGGCTTCCCACCCCAGCAGCACAACTCTGTGGGTCTGGAGGGCCCCGGGCGTCTCTGATTTGGGCAGCCCCCAGTGACTCTGGTCTGTACCCTCATTTGGGGACCCTCCTCATGCTTCGCTGTTCCTTCAGGGTCCCGTCCACATTCCTCACCTATCACGTTTCAGGGGCGCCTGACCAAACTCTAGTTAGGTTGTGGATGGATGGGGCTTGATAAAAGCCACCTGCCCCTGTGGTACCAGGAAATTAAGGGCCCCTGGATGTCGTCCCCTCAGCACCAGAGCCCAAGATCTCCTTCGGTGCCCACTCTTCTCCGGAATCTTCAGCCTCTCCATCCCCCAGCAAAGGGTTAACCCAGCCCGATCTCCGCGCCTGTGGCCCAGGGCATCTCAGCGTCCTGCCTGCAGCCCCCCTCCTCCCTCGAGCATCCATTACGTCCATCTACTATTGACATTCACGAGGCCCAGGCAGCGGGGTCACCCTCAAGCCACCTCACTTAGACCCCCTTCCACTCGGCACCTGCTCCACGCCTCCCCCCCGCCCCGCCCCGCCACCGCCCCAGCTCTAGGGAGGCAGCCGCCTTGTCTGAGCTCCTTCTGAGCCTGATCCGAGCTTGGCTGCATGCGTGGCTGCCATTCCCAGGCCCGTAGCGGGACGTCCAGACGGAGCTTTCTCCAGAAGCCCAGAACGGCCCTCCCCCTCCCTCCGAAGCCTGGTCTCGAACCGGCTCTGGGGACCAGGGCTGTGTGTTCGTGTGCTTGTGTGTGCGCCCACGTGCTGCCTGCATGTGCACGTTGCCGTGTCCGTGTTGTGTGCATCCAGACACACATGAGGTCTCTTCCTGGCGGAGCTACGTATCCCTTGCTTTCATTCTCGGGAAGCACAGACAACAGCTAAACAAACGAGCCGTGTGCTTCTTAGTCTAAAACTAAAACCGGCAAAGACCCAAATCATCAAAGTCGGGCCTCTGTTTAGGCATTCACCTGAGCGTGGCCCCCTGGGGCTCCGCTCTCTGCCTTCCCCCGGAGGTTCAGGGTCCCCAGAATGCGAGTTTCTTCTCTCTTGGCCTCCCTCAGCCCCTCCGTCCCCACCCCCACCACCCCCTGCACGGTGCCAATGACAGGTCTTCTCATCTGACAAACGCAGCGGCTGTCAGCCTGGCTGTCGGGTAGCGAGGCAGTTCCAGTCGATACGTGACGGTCAGGCTCTCCTGGGTGTCTGCCCCCGTTCGGGGCGTCCCCGCAGGCCTGCCGAGGCAAGTGCACGAGTCCCCATTTTTTATGCTTGCCTGACAATAAAAGCCTGCGGCCCAGCCTGCCTATATGTCTGCAGACGCTGAAATAACTCACCCCCCGACGAAGGGCCCGCCTGTCAGGCGTCTTGTACTTCGCTCTTAACTGAGGACCCAGCTCTCGATGCCTAGAAACAGCATCAGAACCCGCGAGCTCCTCCCCGCCACAGGGCCCCAGCTCCAGGAGTCGGTTAGTTTCTCCATGACAGACTTCCCGGCCAGGCTTCAGCCTCCTGGGTCCAGGCAGAGAGCAGCACATAAGGGTTCCGTGTTCCTCATAAGGGTAGGCCTACGCAGATGGTTCCAGCGTCTGCCTGGCATCTTACCAGGCCGTGCAGAACAGGAAGCGGAGGGTGGAAGGGAGGCAGGTTTGGTCGGGACGGGTGCTTTTCGGCCAGTTTCCTGGTTTGATGTCGGCCCGGAGCGGGGCCTCAGCGTTCGGGCTCCTGACCGGCAGAGGCCGGCCCTGTGCTGCCTCTGCACCAGACTCCCCGCCCACGGGGCCCGGCCACAGTCGGCCCCAGGCAGCGTCCCTGGAGGGCTGGCCGGGCACCAGGATGGGCCAGGGCCTCCCCCGACAGCCCACCCGGCCCTGACAGCAGACAACAGCTGCAGCCCAGTCAAGGGGCCACTTGTCCTCCAAGTGGTTTTTGAGGACACAGTGTGGAATCAGAAGCATTCCTCCCCCTGTATTTCCAGAGCCTGTGAGTCCAGGAAGTTCCCGGTGCAGCTGCTAGGCCCTTCACAGCCGGAATTAACTCCAGTGGCCTCTGCTCTGGAAGCCACACTGCGTACAGTCAGGTGTTCGGTTGGGGAAGCATACGAGAGACGCCATCCATCAGGGGACAAGACAGGCCCAGTTTTCCATGTCTCTGTGGTTTTGAAACCCAGAATGATCCAAGAATGTCCCTGAAAGCCAGGGGTGACCTTCCCACTGTCTTAGCAGTCGCTGTGGCTTGGGAACTCCCTACATGGCCTTTTCAGTGTGTACTTGGTACGCGGTGTGGACCTGCCCATAGGCCCCGTGGCTGTACCTCCCCAGCGAGCCCCCTGACCCCCCACGGGCCAAGCACTGTGCTCGTAAACACTTGACAGATGCCCCCTCATTGAGACCTGCCACCCTGCCCCTCACACTGTGCAGCTGAAAACCCCGGGGGCTCAGAAAGATCCCAGGGCTCGGCCCCACGGTGCAGCCCGCAAGTGGAGGATCCCACACGTGAGCTCCAGCCTGGGCGACTCCAGAACCCATGTCCCGCCTTCCGAGAGAGCCCAGCAGAATATCCACGCAGCTCCTGAATCTGTCTCCGGTGCCTCCGTGTGGCGCTCCAGAGACCTGGGTTCGGATGTCGGTTGGGGGCGGCCCGTGAAGTATATGCCTGTCTCCTTCCAGTGTGCGTGGTTGCTCTAGAACCCAAAGGGAAAGCCACGGCCCACAGGACCCTGGCAACTGTGCAGCCTCAGTCAGCAAGGCTGGGCTGGGTGGCCCCTGTCGGGGGGGAAGCCTGGCAGTCCCCCCGAATCAGCAGTGGACTGCAGATGGCCACATCTCCTCTGCCAGCCCACATGGGTTCATCCCCAAATGAGGGCGTGGAACCCTTTTGATACTGGGTTGTTTTCTACCTCCACTCTCTGTCCGGCCCGGGGGACCTGAAATTTTCTTGCCTGGGTTTGCAAGAGGTCCTTGTTTGTCCCAAACACAGATTCTCTCAGCTTCCCAGGGGGTCTTGAGTCTGACTGACTCAGCTTCTGTGGATGTCAGAGCTGATCTCACTAGGGTGCCCCCAGGAGTGGCCCTCAGGCCCAGTCTGTCTTGGGACTTCTCTGTGCCAGCCTAGAGACCCCATCCCCCAATTAACAATTAACGTTTTCTTACCGGGCAGGCTTTTGTGGAGTCCCTGCTGTGCGCAGGCCCTGGGGATAGAGGGTAGGATGTGCGGGGGAGGCCAGGTTCTGTCAGATGACCGGGCACTGGAAAAGGAAGCCGGAGGCTGAGGGGTTCATGGGACGGGGTCTGTGAGGAGGTGGCCTTTGGGACTCACACAGGCCCACCCAGGCTAAGCCCAGCATCTGGCACGAGACAAGAAGATTGCTTTTCTTCTCTCCCTGGGGTCTAACTATAAATTCTGTTTTTCCAGATATAGTCTCTTTTTGAGGGACAGCCCATGTGCCTGTGAGGGCTGAGGCCTGTGGCCCAGTGCTGGCCGAGGGCCCCTCGCCGCAGGGAGAAGGGACCCGGCTGGACCCCGGTTTGCCCTCTGTGCTGGGAGCACCTGCTTCTGAGTCTCCCTCACATGCCAGAAATAGAGTGTGGATGCTTGTGAGTGGCTTTTTCAAAGGGGCTGGGGCTCTCATCAGGGCCAAGAGACACCCCCAGTGGAAGAAAAGGTCACAAGTGTGTTTCCCAGTAACCAGAGAAACCAACCGGAAGGAAATGGCAACAAGGGTATTTAGTTTTCGTTGTCTTTTCCCTGTTAAGGCCGTGCCCAGAGAATTATTTTCCAGTTCTAACGCCTGATGTGTGAGTTGACGTGCAGGCAGACCCCTGAGCCTTCCTGAGGAGAGGTGGTGCCCTGGGCCGCAGAAGCATCCAGAACCTGGCGTCTCATCACCCGCTCGTCCAGTGCAGCCGGCTTGATAGGCCTCAGCTTGTTCCCCAGTGAGAAAATTACAGGGATGGAATTAGCAGGGGTTCTTTTCTTAAACACTTCATTTGAGAAGCTGAAATTGCAGAGAACATACAGCAAGAAAGAGGACATAGACCCCATTTGGAACCAGATGAAGGGCGAGTAGGAATACTTCAGAAATACCTCCCGGGTTACAGCGGTCCCTCGCACGCACGCACACACACAGGTGAATGCACACTCACACACTCCCGTGCACAGTCGCTCACACACACACGCTGGCACACCTCCGCTCTGTGTGGGGCTCTGGTAAGAACACTCCTCCGACAAGAGCTCTGTGGCCAGCTCGGTTGTGTTTCACACACGTCCTGGGTGAGCGGCTTTGAGGAGGAAAGACCGTCTCTTACAAAACGAAGTCAGGGTAAAGGCCAGCCTGCTCTTTCCGTCGTCCGTCGGCCAGGCCCCTGGAGTTATGGCGCACTTTGACTTTTCTCTGGGGTTTTATAGGAAGAAGGAAGGGGTGGGCCCCTGGAGACCGATTGTCGCCACCTGGCAGGGGCGGGGCCCTGGCCTCCTGATCCTCCCCTGCTCCCTGGGCTGTCTGAACACATGGCCTTCACCAGGTCCCATCTGGGCCCAGTGGGGGCCACACAGCCCAAGACCTGTGTGTCACCAAGCCCGGTTACCAGTCAGGCAGGACTTTAAGGACAGATCGCCTGAGCCACGCGTGTGATCTTTTCTCCCCAATCTTCTCCACGATGTTTCTTCTTACTACGGTGAATGTACATACCAGAAAGTGTTAACCATGTTAACCGTTGTTAAGCCCATAGCGCAGTGGCATTAGGTATAATCACATAGCGGCATTAATTTTCAGCTCTGCTCTAATCCCAAGTGCGAGTCACAGATATGGCTCCTTCCTTCCCGAGGAGATGCTCCTAACATTTTTGTTGCAGCCGATTGCAACCCGCCCCCGGCCTCTCTCGGCACCTTGGTCTCAGGCCCTCCTGCTGAGGCTCCGTCTCAGGTTTCCAAAGGTTCAGACCAGCTGCGTGTCTTCTGGAGAGTGGAGCCCCGCGGCCGGGGAGGGTCCAGGAGCGCCTCGCCCGTCCAGGGCTCTTCCCCAGAGCGTGAGGAGCTGCACCGCTGGCTTTAGTGTGGTGACGGCAGGGACCACTGGCCTCATAAGTTGGGCCCAGAAATCTGCTTGTTTCATTAGCCGGCTCGGCTCCCGTCCCCCAACCACACGCCCTTCTTCACACTGTCCTGGGGACGCAGGGCTTTCTTCCCAACTGCTGGTTCGCATGGGGTGCTGACAGGCAGTTCTGTTCTTCTGTCCCTGGAGGTTTCCTCCCCGACGCCCCGTGTCACTGATGACCCCAAGCCTTTCCTTTCCAGCGGGACTGAACCTTCACCGTCTTTATCCTCGACTGAGCCCCACGTGCGGGCAAACGGTCGGGTCCCCGGCCGTCCCGACAGCACCTCGTCCTGGTGGGGCGGAGTTGGGGGCTTCGCCCGTTCGGGCACCGTGCCCCCCCCACCCCCAGCTGTCGTGGGCACCCGCTGGGACCCTGCCACGCTCCTCTCGCGCGCTCGTCCACGCCTGGCGTCCGCCGCTGCTCTGCGCCCCTCTCCGTGCGCCCTTTCTCTGTCCCATTGTTAAAGGCTGTCTGTGACCTGTCGCTGTGTTTCCCTCTAGTCAGGAGTGGCAGGAAAGGACGCCGGCGAGTGTTCAGCCTGTCGGAGGCCGACAGTCACGGCGGCCACTGGGTTTAGTGCTTCGAACGGCAGCGCTCACGGCAGCTCTCGCAGGCAATTCAGGCAGGTCTCGCCCGTTAGCCTGCGCGGCCCGCGGCCTCGCCGGGCCTCCGGGGACCAGGGCTGTGAGCCCCCCTCCAAGCGGCCATTTCCCCGGCTTCCCTTCTCCTTCCGGCCTCGCCTCCGCTGAGGACAATATTACGCCCTCCGACCCTCCCTCGAGAGCCCCGGCAGCCTGGAAACACTGTCCTTCTCTGGGACCGCCCAGCTAGTGAGGTTCTCCAACAATCCTGGGGCCCCTGGTTTATGCACCAGGTCAAGCAGTAAAAAATTTTGTAAAAGCGTGTCAAAAGAATTCAATTAGTTTCTTTTTTCTTTTCCTTTCTTACCTCCCTAACCCTAACCCTGACCCCCCCCCTCCCCCCCCAGCTTTGCTCAAAGCTCAGCAGTAGATTCAGTCCAGCCTCAGCCAGAGGCCAAAGCAGCTCCTTCGTGAGCACTGATGGGTGGTGACTCCCTTGTCCCTGCTTCTTACACGCAGTCCTCCAGGTAGCTGCCGATGCTGCTGCTTGCTCCCTGGGGTCCACGGCTGCTCCCTCTCCCACCTTCCCAAAGTTTCTTTCAGGGTTTCCTACACACACCTCCTGCTTGGCCGCGGTGCTTGCCAGCCAGGGGCCTTTTGCCTTCTTTTGCATTTAAAAGCTGCTTTCTCTGAGCTCTGCCCTCGACCTGCTATGCTCTGCTGCACGACCCCCTCCCCCACAACTCTCCCAGCCTGAGCACACAACCCCAAAGATTTCCTGGAAACTGTCACTTGACAAGGGCCAGCTGAGCCCCTGCCCCGGAGCCGGGGATCAGCTTCTGAGGGTGCTGGCCAGGGACATGGGGACCCGCTGCCTTGGTGTCAGCTAAGGGCAGAGCCGTGGGAGGCCCAGCGTCTCTCACGGAAACCTGGACGTCCAGGACTTCTGCTCAGGCCTCCACGCTTCTCCCCGGCTCCTGGCCAGGAAACCAGAATGTTCTCCGAATCTTTCATTTTCAGGGCCAGGCCCCCAGTTGTGGCCTTCGAGCTCAAAACCGGCAGGCCAGCAAAAGCAAGAGTTCAGCAGTAACCTTCACAGCCCAGCACTGGGCGAGAAAATAGGTCCCCGAGGGGTAATTTTTCCCTGGTGAGAAAGTTCTCATTTTTCATCCCCCTTGAATGGATATATTTGTAGATCACATTCAGAAAACAGTTCCTAGTTTAAAAAAAAAAAAAAAAGTGTTGTGGGCGATGGGCGAAAGGTTATTTTTTCCCATAAAAAATTGAAAAAGGCTATTTTTAAGGGAGAAAAAACCCGACCCTCTTAATAAAACTGTTGGTTCTTTTCTTGAAGAAACCAATTTTGTGTGTGTGCTATTGTATTGTTAGTTGGTTGGTTGGTTTTTTAATACATTTGGTGGCAATTTCCCGTGTCCTTGATTATTCTCATCACCAAAAACCCCGCTAGGGATCAGGGAAAGAGATTTGCCAGCTTTTTGAATATCTGCATGCAAATGCAGACTCTTACATAGAAGTTGGGAGAAGAGTGAAGGAAATACTCCACAGCTCAGTCTCCAGATGGCACAAAAGTGCCATTTGGAGAATTAGTCCTCTCTTAACTGCCTTGTCAGCAGCTAAGCTCACATGTGGATCCGGACATGGGCCCATAGTCCTGCTCCCCGCTTCTGGAAGCGTGGTGGAAGCCTGCCAGAGCAGGTGAGCTCCCGGAAGGGAACCGTAGGCTCTGACCAGCACCCGGGAGCCTGCGCCTCGCAGGCAGGCGGCCCATGCCACAAGGGTCCTGGCCAAATGGAGCAAATTCACGGAGATTCGGAGAAACCAGAATGCGCGTGGAGTGTTGACTCAGCATTTCTGGGCTCAGCTCGCACCCTGAATCACATTTTCCACTGGTGCTCACAGCCACCTCTGTGACCCAGCACAGAGCAAGGACAGACCCAAAGCCCTATGCGGTGGTTTTCTCTGGGCCTTATTTCTCTTAAAAGAAAAAAATCAAAATAATAATAATAATAACAATAAAAAGAAAGAAAACCAAAGGCTTTAGGAAGGAATAAACAGGGATCTTTGAGAGCTTGTCTTGCCCAGGAGCCTTGGGGAAACGAATTCTCCGTATTCTTTGGGACACTCAGTCTGTTGCTTGTGCTTTCTCTCCACGATGGGGAGCCTCCTTCTCTCCTGCATCCCATTCTATACACCCTTCGGTTTTATTTTGCTCTTGGTTTTCCCATTCTTTTGCTGTATGTTCAGTTTGCACTTCTGTTTTGTTTTGGCTTGCCTTAAAAAAAAAACAAAACCAAAAAACTGGAATCCCATTGAACAAACTGTGTCGAGCATCCTTCCCAGGGCCCAGAGGGCCTCAGGGCTCAGCACCCTGCCATCAGCATCTTCTGCTGATGGCTTGTGGACCCCGAGATCTGTACAAATGCGATGTTTGCTTTCCAAGCGAGATGCCCACAGCTTTCTTGCCGACACTCCTGGAAGCCCGGAAGGTGTTTTCCGCTGTGAGCCCCCAGCCCAGCCCCAGCCACCACCGTTCCCGTCCAGGCACACTCGTCATTGGAAAGCAAAGCGACCGTTTGTTTGTAATCTAATCAATGATTTTGAAAAGCACCAAAAACAAAGAAATTGCCACTCCAAAAATAACTGCTGGGCGGAGCCTCCCCTGCCCTCCTCCTGCCTGGTCTCTCTCCATGACCCCTATAGAGACAGTTAGGGTAGGAGTGGCCCCCGGGGCAGTAACAGCCCCTTTCTGACTGCTAACTCAGCTCTCTGAGAAGGAGCAGTCTGAGGTTTTGGTTTGGTTTTGCAAGCTGAAAAGTTCTAGAGAATTCCCTTTTTTTTTTTTTTTTT